CAATAAAGAATATCACTCATGCTAATAGTCGAAGAACTCTAATTCTTTTGATAATCTTTCTCAAGTAATACCAAAAATAGTCTCACACATTAATCTACTATATCTCAAAGTGAATTAAAAATATATGAATGCTCATTAAGATCAATGGTAATTCATAGATTAACCACACAAATCAGGTTAGTACATCTCTATTTCACATGTAATTTATAGCATCCATTACAAAGAGCAAAAACACATAAATCACTTTTCAGTCTCAATATGATTCTTAAATCAATTCAATATTGGCAAGATATTTAAAAGTATTAAACACAATAATAAACACGCAACATGAAATAATAAAATTTAAATAACACAAACTTATAAAATTAAATTCATAGTTAGGCTACATCATTACTGTAACGCCCCACTTAAGGTACGTACTCAAGATTTGTTATCTTGCTTAAATATTTATTGATTTGGTTTTAATTGAGTTTGGATTTTGTCATGATATGTCGAATTGGTTAAGTGTTTGCCTTGGTTTTGGTTGAGATTTGGTGAATTTTGGAAATCCAATCTTTGTTGGGGCGAAGGAGAATCTTCGCCGTGGCGATGAGGTGCTGTACCCACGGGTAGGTTCTGCCGTGTTTCGCCGGGGCGACGGAATATTCTTCACCGCGGCGAAGAGCCTAACAAAAAGTTTCTTGAGTTTTCTAGAGAATTCTTCATAAGGGTAAAAATGACCTTTCTACCCCTAATTAGTAGGAAAAGTGGGGAGTGAAATGTAAGGAAATTTAGTAGAGAATGTGTTGGAGTGGAGGTGTATTTGCAAAGAATCAAAGGATATAGATGGAATTTTCAAGGAAGAGTAAGGGCAAAATTGGAAATGATAGTTATAATATGAGCTAAAAAGGGTTAAGTGAAATAAACCCTTCATTTTGCATCCATTCCACCGCCATATCCATTCTCTAATTTCTCTCAATCTTCCATTCAATTTTCCTAAGATTTCTAAGGGATTTAAGAGAGCTTTTGAGTAATTTTGAGTAGAGATTTCATCTAAAGCATCCTAAGGTAAGGATTCTTGCTTTAGATGTGAGTTTTGCTTATGGTTATATTGAAGTCTTATATTGTTATTATTGTTCTTGTTGTTGTTTTAAGTTGAAGAGAGAAGACAAGACAATAAAGGAAAGGAAAAGTGTTAGAGAAGTCACTTTTTCCCAAGGTAAGTAAATCCAACTAAATTGAGATTTAAGAATTTATTTGAGTAGAAATTGTGTATGTATATGTATGTATTATGCTTACTGAGAAATTGAGATGTTATGAGTATGTATCTATGTTGATATGAATTTAATTGAGTTATGAGAAGTGTTGTGATTGTATGATGATGAGTTGAGTTTGATTGAAGTTGGAGGGAGTTTTGAGCAAACCCTATGGGAGTGTTTTGCCTTGACAGGAAATTAGAGTGTATGAGGGAGTTTCCCTCCCATTTTGGATGATTAAAGAGAAGAGTAGAGTTATAGATATGTAGAGCTTGGGTATGCACATGAGTTATTTGAGAAAATGCCTAAGTGAAATCTGCCCTGTCACAGCCGTGACTTTCTAAGTGAATTTTGGGCATCTTACGAATTGAACTGGGCTAAGACCAAAATATCAAAGTTGTAGCCCTATTTTTAAGCTTTAAAACAAGACCAAAACTGCAGCAATCTGATGTGTATAACGCAAGTTATGCCCTTTTTAGTGTGACCTGTGCAGATTGTCGATTTTGGAGCAACGTTGCATTTATTCATTTCATGAGTGCATTAATGAGCATGATCATCCACATGCACTAATTATGCCTTTGAGTGTGAGCTTTATTAAGAGAAAAGAGGGAAAGAGAGAATAGAGTAGGTTGTGCAATGGGGAACCCGTGAGTAATAGGTAGAGTATTCCCGCATGTATGCCGCATTGAGAGAGCGACATTAGTATGAGAGAGAGAAGTGGTGTAGCCCGTGAGAGTGCATGCGGATGAGGGCTATACCCGAGAGTACCCGAGAGAGAGATTATTCACTCACATGGCCAAGGGTTCCGAATCCATGCATAACCAAGTCCGATCGGCTAGAATGAGGAGAAGTCACGTAGAGCGAGAGCGAGTCCCGGCCGTGCCTCTGATAAGATGAGGCCGTGACTACTAAAAAGAGTTAATAAAAAAGAGTTATGAGAAGGAGAAAATAGATGAAGTATAAGAGAGAGAGAGAGAGAGTAAACGAGAATTGTAAGGAAGAATTAGAGAGAGAGAGTTACGGGGATAGATGAGTAGAGGATTTACTTACTGAGCATTAGTTGTGCTCACCCCGTTGTTTTCTATGTTTTTGCAGGATCTAGGTGAGGACATAGTCGGATATAGTCGGATGGACATCGGCGGGCGAAGGGAAATGACTACACTGTCCACGTTGTTTTGATGCTTTTGTACATGATACAACTTTTTGCATAAAGAATGTATATGTTTAATAAAAGAAAAATTTGGGCCCAACCTTTTTATGCTATTTTATATGTATTTTATTATGTACATGTTTTATGAATATTTAAGTAGAACGCGGCTATTACAATTACCCTAGCAAAGAGAAAAATTAGTTCATCATCAAATTAAGAGAAACCAAAAACAGATTCATTATCATAATAGAATAAATTGAAAAGTACTATAAGAAGAAAAATCCTCAAACTTGCCCACGTCAATTTGTTCAATTCTAGCTTCTTGAGTTATTTTCTCTTCTCTCAATTTGTGTAGAGATGTCGGCACGACTTGTGCCATCGACTTAGAATTTGGCACATGGGCCGACATGGCACGGCCCATGAATTTAAAAAAAAAATTAATTTTTTGAGAAAAGCTTATGCAGCATGTGGGCTAGCCCACGAAGGCACGATACAGCCCACCAGGTCATGGGTCGTGTCGTGGACTTCAGTTTTGGTTGTCTAGCATGGTCTGGCACAACCTACATTTTTGTGAGCCGTGGCACAGCACGGCCCATGGCACGGTGAGCTGTGAAAATTTTGGTACAAAATAGGAATTCTAAATAAATAGACTTGTTTGGAAAAACAACTCTAATAAATACATGAACGCCACATCTTTAAATGCAACTCAAAAGTCATTCCAATTCCCCCTAGCAATTGTAAGGCGAACTTCACTCCAGTTCCTTTAATTTATTCTTCCCTTATTATGCTCTCAAAATTCTTGCGGCTTTCTATTTTCCCATGAATTTTCAATTGTTTTGGCCCAAAAGTTCGACTTAATCTTCTCAAATTGGTTCGAATAATAAGACTTTTCCTATGCTTCTGAATTTATTCACCTAAAACAAAAAACAAAAAAAATCTAATTATTAAATTAATTAAATAAATATAATAACTAACAAAATATATTAAAATGTAATAAATATAATATAAAATAAGCTCAACAAATATAATATATTCTCTCTATTTTGTTTTAGCTTTAGTTTAATTATGTACTCTAGATTATTAGATTGATGGTTGATGAAGCCTATGTGTAATAATTTATTTTAAAAATCCTAAGGAGTTAGCCTAACGGTCAAGAGAGTTTGCTCTCTTCCTTGAGTTTTTGGGTTCAAACATTGGAGTCACCTACCACAATAACATTGTGGTTTACATGGTCCTTTGCGTTTATAAGGTATTCAATAGATAATGCGTAAACTGACCTGAACACCCCAGTAACCAAAATAATAATCATAATAATAATTAAGTTTCAATCCATGATTTAATTCATTTATTCATGCAATTAAGGATTAATGTTCTTGCTTCATATATAATTAGATAAATTCTTTTGTCTATAATAACATATATTACTGATAATTAGAATTGTTTGAGTGGATGCTGTTTATTTAATTTATTTGATGTATTGTTTTTCATTGAATTAGATATATTTAATACTTAGAAATTATACCTTAGGCACTCTTAATTTTCTATGTAAAAATTTAACCCCTTTTGTACTTAACGGACAGTTAAGAAATCAATCCACTGTCTAGTAAAAATTTCAATTAAACACAATTTAATAAATTTAATGTCAGTTCTTCTTCAGTCTAAGCTATAATTTCTAGGCATTCAATTTATCTAATTCAATGAAAAACTATAAATCAAAGAAATTAAATAAACATGCATCCACATGGCTTAATTGATTAAACAATCCAAACTATCAATAATAAATGATATTATAAATGAAAGAATTTATTTAATTAAGTAGGAAGTAAAAACATTATTCTTTAATTGCATAAATAAATTTATTAAATCAAAGATTGATAATTAATTATTAAACATAGACTTCATGAGCTCTCAATTCAATAATCTAGAAACACACAATTAAACTAAAAACAAAAACAAAATCATGTTGAGAAGTCTTCAGTCTTTCCCCAATTATGAAACATACTTTATATAAATAAAACCCTTTACCTCTTCAAAATAGAAATTTCATATAGATTTGGCTTTGGAAACCAGTTGTAAACTTAGGTTTAATTATATGTGAGTAATACTACACTTACAAATAAATTTTATAAAGATCTTCATACAAAGTAATGTGATAAAAAATGAATAAAATAGTAAATTTAATGAATTTAACTTTTTATTTTATTATTTTATTTATTTTTTATCATCTTATTTTATATGAAAATCTGGATAAATATAATATTATGGAAAGGATTGAACGATGAGGCTATTGTCTTTATGAATGGTGGAAGATTAAGCAGTTATACAGAAACACCGCCTGGCCCAACTGTTCAGCAATGTGAAATGGGCTGAACTCTGTCTGTTAGGCCCTTTGACCCTTTTTTTAAATTTAGTGGGTTTTTCTAGAAACGTCTGAGTTTGATTTTAATAATTATCTTAAAATTGTTAATGCAATAAAGGAGACGGAGTCCAAAGATGTTATAAATAATGGTCCCACCCATCAGAATAGAAGATAATAAAAATAAAATAAAATGACAAGCTTTTCTCAATCCTCAGACAATATCTGACCTTCCATAAAATTCTCGAATGATGTACAAGCTCATAAATAGAAACTCTAGAAACTCCTACACATTTCAATCCTTCTCTCCAGAAACTTCCCCATCCATCCTCGTATCCTCCTATAAATACAGAAACTACCTCCTCTCATTCTATGAAAAAGCAATTGATAAGTATCACTTTCGCTGAAACAATTTTTAATATCACCAAATAATAAGAACACTCGTTTCATCGATATGGATTTGAGGATCATGGGTTTGGACTCTCCCCTCTTCTCGACACTCCAGCACATGATGGACGTAGCCGAACACGATTCCGACAAGTCGTTCAACGCTCCAACACGCACATACGTGAGAGACGCCAAGGCAATGGCGGCAACGCCTGCCGACGTGAAGGAGTACCCCAACTCGTACGTCTTCATAATCGACATGCCTGGGTTGAAGTCGGGGGACATTAAGGTGCAGGTGGAGGACGACAATGTGCTGCTGATAAGCGGAGAGAGGAAGCGGGATGAAGAGAAAGAAGGGGCTAAATATGTGAGGATGGAAAGGAGAGTCGGCAAGTTTATGAGGAAGTTCGTGCTGCCTGAGAATGCGAATACTAATGCCATTTCGGCAATTTGTCAGGATGGAGTTTTGACTGTTACTGTGGAGAAGATGCCGCCTCCCGAGCCGAAGAAGCCGAAGACCATTGAAGTTAAGATTGCTTGAAGCGTTTGCAGAGGGTGTGTTTTCACTTTTCTTGTCTATTAAATATAATAAATGTGTTTAGGAAATGGTTTTGGTTTTGTTTCTCGCTGTGTATGGGTTCTGTTTTGGGATCTGGTGACGGGTTTCTAATGGTTTTGTGTAATAAATGTGTTTACTGTTTAGGAAATGGTTTTGGTTTTGTTTCTCGCTGCGTTTGGGATCTGGTGACGGGTTTCTAATGGTTTTTGTGGTAGATATTATTAACGAAGCTTATGTTTTAGAATAAAAAATTTCTTTTATATTTCTCTGTCCACAACCACAACTCCAAGTTTGATTACCATTCTCAACAAATTTGGCAAACGTGGTAAATAGCATTAAAAATATTACCATGTTGCAATTAACAAGATCGATGCTCTAGTTTGTTTATCTTTTAGGACACAGAACATGATATCTTTTCACTTGAATTTGCAGCTGCGATTGCCATTCTACAATAGTAAAACACACAAAAAAAAAAAAAGAGGAGTAATGGTTATTTTCGTAAGGAATAAAATTAAATTTTAAAGATTCGTATTCTGGTAGCAGAATGACAAATTGACAATCTGTTGCGCTGTGTAATTAACAATCCACTTATCTGTTGCGCTGTATAATTAACAATCCACTTCGAAATGGAGAAATTTTCATATGAGACCAGAGCAAGACCGATCTACATATGACAGTTAAAACGAAAATATACAAACTAAATGTGGATTGCCAGATTTACAAGGTACCTGAAGATTCAAGAACTACTAACCATCTCATGTTCAGATTCAAGACTAATTGTTGCTCCTCCTGACTTCTTTCTTCCAAATTTCAGACCACCATAAGACCATATCTTGAACATTCTATTATACATGTAAGGCGTTACATATTTTTTCTTGTACACAATCCTATGTGCGTTGGCGCAATCCCTTGTGTGAGCACAAGGGCATCGGCTGCTCTTACTAGGCATTTTTGAGTGATCAGCCGTGTCTCTCCTTTCAAATAGAGCAATGAAGAAGCCTTCTTTGTCCTCCACCAGATCAGTCCGGAGCAGATGTTCAGCTGCAATACAAGAAACACGTTTGGGTTTGAAAGACAATAGTGTAATAAAGTTTTTAAGATATTTTAGAAACACACTTACAGCCTTTAAAAACTAGGAGGCCACGACGGTGCCACTGTGGAAAGGGAGTTGCCAATTGAAAACCGTAGGAAGTAGCAAGAGGTAAAACAGATTTGACAACATCTTCATTTTCAGTTTGGTGGATGGAGCATGTACTGTAAACAACTCTCTCAACTGCTGGAACTGTAACAAAAGATTATAACATTACAGCATAAATTGAAACACGAAAACAATTCTCTACGACAAGGTAAAGTCACATTCAGAGAGATACTGCAGAAGAGGTAGCAGCTCGTATCAAAGATCCCAATCACAACAATGACACGAACTTTAAATCCCTATAGCTCACAAAACAAGAATTTCCAAACGTATAAATTGGTGCAGTTATGTTATTTGGCATGATATATTAAGATCATCAAAGGTACAGATTTCAAACTAAGATTTCAATTTTCTAAAAAGGTACAAGAAATTTTGAAACCAGAATTTCTTATAGAATTACATGGCAATGGACAACTACATATTTAGAAATTCGTACCAAATGGATAACTTCAACCAGATCAAACAGAAGGCACACCAAGGCCTAAATGAAAATAAAAGTTCTTCTACCTCCTAATTTAAATGGCGCAAGTTTCTTCAAATAACTAGTGCAAAACTTTGAGAATAACTTCAATTGAGAAACTAATTACCCCCATGAAGTTAAATATGAATTTCCACTCCTTGAGAAAAGACATAGCAAAGATAATCTTGGGTGAACTATAGAAAGCAATCAAACTTACAAGATAGTGCATGTGCCAAAGCCTTCTTTTGAAAAGCTGCAAGCTTATTCAGTCTTTCAGTGTCAATAATATCAGGGGCATGACCTACAAGATTTATGATGGCAAAACAAATATAATTCAATAAACAATGTACACAGTAGCTTGCGACTCTACACACAACATGAAAGTGTAACTAGAAATCATATTGACATTGCAAAAACAATGGAGATGATAGATCTTCAAGTTTAATGATCAACATTACTAATATTACCGGACAGGTCCAAAAAATAAAAGTTCTAATACTCGGTAGTTGTTAATGTCATTTCACCTTTCTACTATTATCTGGCCACAGAGAGAAAGAGAGAGAGAATTGGTCAATCTACTAATATGCCTAGAGAATGCAACATGAAAATCCCTTTAACGGATTATACTGCCTATGCTCCACCATCTTCAACATGCACTCCAAAACAGTCCTTCTGGAGCAATGATCTTATACATGAAGCAAAGAGCAGCGAGCACAAAGTTGTCACCAAAAGCACGACAGATGATATAGTATTAACCAAAGTAAATGATAAAATATTACAGAAAGAAGAAGATGTGAACAAATGTAATTTAGATACACATATCAAGGGTAGACAAAAAAATTTGCATAAACAATTTCAAGTATATCTTTCATACGTTTAACTCTCAGGTGTCATTTACTTCGTAGATTGCATGACGAAGGGATGGGAATGGGTATGTGTGAAGGAGCTAAAATCATCACAGTGTCTACTTGTAATGATGAACAGTGACAGACTGGAATATAATTTATAATTTTTGGACGAAAATATTCTCTAGTAAATTGTTACATATGTATATTTTATCACAATTAAATCCATTAGATATTAATTACACAAAAATAACTCTATAATTAAAAAATATTTTAATAAAATATTTACATTTAATTAAATAATAAAATTAAAATAAATATTAGAATAAATTATTTTATTTAATAAACTAAAAATATTATTTTCTATTTATATAAAAATTTTGAAAATGGTCAACTGCCGGTCAATGTCACCGGCCTGACAACATTTCTTCACGTTCAGACATCATTGGCGGCATGTGAGGAACCGGCACTGCCGATCTGGGCAAACTCCGGCTGTCGAAGATCACCAAAGTGACATCATGCACAACGGCAGATTGTTCATGCTGCCATGCGTGAAGTCACCTCTAGCATCTTTGGCTATCGGAACCTGCCCAGACCAACAGATCACCGGACGTAGGTTCCCCACATGTTGGTAGTGACGCTGATATCATGATTTCGGCAATGTCAATGGTCGATGTCAGTGATGTGGCAGTGGTGGAGGTTAGGGTGATAGGGGTAAAACAGTAATTTCTGTTTTATATATTTTATTTATTAATATAATAGTATAATAATTTTTAAATTAAATAATTAAATTCTAAAGAAACCGTTTCTAGGGAAAATGGGAAAAAAATTAAAATAGTGGGCAAAGAAGAATTTTTTCCAGTATTCCTACACCTGGCTTACCCATTCCTCCCAAATATGGGAGGGGATTCCCCCATTTTGGGGGAATGAGCATTGCCTTGGAAAGCCCATTCCCCTAGAACTTTGCCAAAGTAAACGGTGGAGTGGGAGTCCACCTCCATTCCACCTAAGCAAACATGCGATCAATGGAAGCTTATTAATCAAATTGATGTAGAGTAATTTGTACTATACCCATTATTACTGAACAGTTGTAACATGGAAAACAAATTTCTCATCCTCAATTAAATTCGAAGATATGCAAAATTACCAGTTAGTAAAAGAATGTCTACGTTACCTGCAGCATGTGATGGGAGTAAGTGGTCTAATCTCTCCACTGCAGTCCCCGATCCAGAGCAGGATGGATCTAAAAGAATGGCACAGACCTGAAATTATTTGCTTGTGAGCAAAGAGCTGATATGAACTATAGTAGCCTAGCAAATGCATTCAAAAGGTGAATTACCCGTCAAATAAAAGACACATGTGCTCTGCTAACCTCAGAAATCAAGAGTAAGAGAGAAAGAGAAACAACAACTAATACTACAAATTGCAGTATTTTAGAATGTTAGAAACCCAGGATTTTATTAAAGCCCATCCAGGTAGCTATAGTGGAAAACCAACTCATTATCAATTAATGACAGGGATCATATAAGTTATTATTTCACTGAATTTTAACTTGCTTTCCTATAACGTACAATTAATAAGCCTTTAACAGTACAAAACAGAGTTACTTAATCGATAGCCTAAACTTTGGAAACCCTTAGTAGCCCCAACAGCCATTCCATAGTGTTTAAATGATATTGACCACTCACTGACAGGAAAAATTCCAATAGCAACAAGCAAAGATTAATGAATCATGAGATAACACATACAGACAACTGTCGCTAAAGTTGTTGGCAAAACTTATAACATTCTTAAGAGGCCATGCAGGATAATCACCCTTACAGTTAGAACTTAAGATATCATGCTTACCTCAGAGTATGGTGGATCTTTTGGGTCTAAGTTTAGAAAATCCCCATGCAGGACTTCAATGTCTACAACCTAGGTTAAGGATAATCTGGTTGCCAGAAGAAAATATACACAGACAAGCTAAAAGATTGACCAAAAAGTTATGTTTCAAATGAAAATAGATACTAAAAAAAAAAAAAACAAAGAACAGGCTCAGATAACAAGCAACATGGAGGCTGAAGATCATTTTACAATTTTAAACAAGCTAAAAAAGTGTAACCAGCGGCAGACAATTAAAGTGCACAGCATCTAAAAGATCAAATAATTTTTGGAAGGATACTAGTTGCACCTGAGAGCATGACAGTATCTTCTAATCGTTTAACCCTTTCCTTGTTCAGTTCACATGCAATAACTTTTCCCTTTCCTTTCATAAGAGCAGCGAGGTGGACAGTTTTGTTTCCCGGAGCCGAACAGGCATCAAGAACCTTCACAGAAAATTGAAACAAGGCATGAAAAATATGCAAAGAAAGAACTCACAAACAATTTCATGCATTTAGGAGTCAATTTCTTAAAAAAAAAATTATAAGAAATATTTATAGCAAAGAAGATGTGACAATTATCTTCACGTAAATATATGGGATAAAAGTAGCACTTATGAATTTATTTTATAAAAAAGGAATAGCAAAACTTGAGCTTATCTACTACAAGAACAACATTAGTTGCAAACAAAAATTGGGAAGACCTTAATATCAGAGATGATCAAAGTACAAGGACCAAAAGAAGGCATAGCTGACCTTCCATCCTGGTTTGGGAGCAAGGGCTGCTGCAACCAATGAACTTGCCTTTCCCTATGAAAACAAACAATCACTACACAATGCCAATGAAAAACCAAAATCCACAGTATCTCTTTCAGAAGGAAAGAATTATTATACAAAATTCTGGCATGAATTATTAAAGCGTTACCTGCATGAACACACTTCCATTCACAACCAGAGGATGATTGTGCAAATCAGAACCTGGTGGGAGTATCAACAAGTCAGGAACCATGTCATCCTTTCGAACCTATTTAACCCACACAAGAGACAATCATAATAAAAATGAACCACATAAAAAGTCAACCAGAAAAGCAAGAGACATGTATATCATCAAACTAATTTGTAAGTAAAACAAACAAAAAATACAAGTAGGTTAAGAAAAAATGAAAAGACATCAAATCATTACTTAATGTCACTACATCAATTACATGATGATGAAACAAGCCATTAAAACATGCCTCATGATTATTTTCAGAGGTTAACTAGTCGATAACATGCATATCACTGAACTAAAAGAGAATATTTAATCATATAAATATTATATTATATATTCAAGTAGAAATTCAAATAGGTTTCACAAAGTTAGTACCATGTATTGCTTCCCTAATTCGAGTACTGCAGAATCAACATCCATTTTCAGAGTATTCACACGAACATAACGAGGTTTTGTTACATCTGCATCAAAATTAGCCAAACACAAAAAGGCCGTGTGTTAAAAGGGCTGGACTAAAATAACTCATGCACTTTAGTAAGAGAACAGTTTTGAATAGCCACCAGGTGTCTGATAAAGTGCCGTCAAGTCTTCAATGCACTTAGCTTTTTTCCTCACTAAGAGCCGAGCTAGAGACGACTGTATGGCATCTTTACGGAGCATGAGAAACTTCTCCGCATCACCAACTAATAAAATATCCTAGGAAACATATAGCACATCAAAAGTCACCACAAAACCAAGAAATAAGCACAAAGCACAGGCACAGATGACAGTAGATACAATGCGTTCTTGGAGCAATGAAAATTACTATACTAATTTAGGGAGTTCAAAAGCCATTATCATATCTCAGGTCCGTATAGTAATCTAGATTCCAAACAGATCGAACCCCTAAAAGTTTTGCAATCAGTGACAACTCTTAACACTCACACTATCACCTGGTAATCCAATACTTTTAACATTGCACTTGTATCACACTAATAAAATCTCTTTAAGCCCAAATAGAGCCCGTAATTAAGTGCAGCAACAGCTGAAATATTTTATATGATCTGCTACCAAAATTTAGCAAGCATGAAAAGCTCCAAACCAAGTCTTAACATTTACAAAAACAAAACCAATTATGTAAGAGCTACTGAACCAACTTCGTAAGTAAAATTTACCTGGCCAAAAAGAATATCGTATGTGATTATATAAACCAATTCTTCTTGCCGCTGCAAGAGCATAAATAAGGTTAGACATCATAAAACGTTGCATTATTATAAAAATTAGTAATAATTCAAACATAAGGATAATAACAACAATTACCTTCCATTTGCTATTCAGTATGCTAGAAGTCTCCAGAACTTCTTTAATAATGGGGAGATCTGAATACAAAAAGCAACAAACACTAAAACTTATAAATTATATAAAAATACATAGATACCAGGTAGTGGTGGAGGCCTTGTAGCTGAACTTACGTTTCAGAGTTTGACAAACCAAAGCGAAAGTTGCCTTCTTGTTCCTGACAGAGGGGCTATAGACGAGCGACTTGATGGAGCCCACGGCTCGGCGCTGAGCGTCGCCTTGGAGGACGCACCGCAAGACCTTCGTAGCCTCTCTTCTCGCGAAGTAAGCAGACCGCTCGGCGTTGCTAAGTCGCTGGTTTCTGGATGCCTTGGCAGCTCCTGATGCAGTGGCAGCTGTTGCCGCCTTGCTGCGCACCATGGCTCACGCTAGGGAAATTGATCGTTGTCACTAACGTTCAATTTTTTGAGACCTCATACGTCACCGTTTTTCAGTTTACACCCTTGATTTAGCAGCCATTGCGCATTGTTTCGATGAAGCGGGTAAACCGTTTAGTTTGCCATGGCAAATGGGCGGGTTGCAGTGGGCTAAGCCCAACGTAATTTAATATTAAAATAAATAATAAGTGATTTTAAGCTTCGTCTAATTGATCTTCACCCGTGTCACCCATGACAGAGTAACTACTACATCTCTGATTGTCTTCTGTAATTAAATGGAGATTTCTTTAAACCTCGTTTAATACGAAAATATTTTTTTTAAGATTAATTAGGTTTATTTTTCTTAATTTCAAACTTAATTAATTTTTATTTTACACATTTTTTTCCCAATCTAACTTATTAGATTTTTTTTTACATTTTTTTCTTCAATTTCCTAATTTCAACTTATTTTATCTTTTTCAGGTTTAGATTCATCTCGTTATAATTTTTATCATTTTAGTATTATATTTTCATCAAACAAACAAATATTTAAAATAAAATAAAAACTTTCAATGATTATGAAAATTTGGGATTAAGTTATGAAAATTTAAGGTTAGAGTTTATGTAAGATTAAATATTAAAAATTAAAACAAAAAAATATAAAATAAAACATAAGCATATTCAGAAATTATAATGTTATTTCTAGTAATTAAAAATTAATTTAATTTGTTAAAACGAAAAATTAATTTAAAAATGGAGGTAAATATTAGGTGGGGGCTAAAAATCACTTCAAAAAAAATGGAAAATGAATTTTTACTCCCACTTTTGTTTAAGTAGCCCCTATTTAAAAATTAAAAAAAATAAACTTATTAAATCTATTACAATAATAAAAAAATAAACTTAAAATCCTAATTATACTAGAAATTAGAATGCATTAACGAACAAAGTGTGATTGGGGTGAAAAAATGTAAAACCTACTTGATTTGTAATTCAAAAATAATTTTGAACAACTAGAATATAAAGAAAATTTTTGAGTTGTATGTTAATCATTTTAGAGCAAACGACATGTTCCCACCAAAAGATTAGTAAAACGGCAAATTTACACCCTTGGTTTCATTTATTCCAGATTCCCACCGTAAAAGTGACATCGTTGCAGACTTTAGAATTCTGACAAGTATTATTACCAAACTGCCCTTAACCTTTGAGAGAGTTTTGCACCGTATTCTGAAATTAGCCCAACTGTCGGCGTTTTCTCCACTTTTTCGGCTTTTTTTCACCCAAAACCTCCACCATTTGCCTCCCTGAACCTCCCATACCAAAAACCTAGCTTTTCCTCAACCAAAACCAGTTGTCCCACTTGGAAAACGCCGGCCACAGGTGGATATTTTATGCAACTGTCCCTAGCCAGATTCCGACTGATTCTGGTGGCCTCAACTGCAAATGACAGCACCCCGACACTCACAGGTATCTCTCATTCAAAAACTCCAACTTTCCAACCACAATTGCTTGTCCGCCACTCACCTTATGGTTTGGCGAATTCAATTGAAATTGGGTTTGATTGGAGGCTATTTTTTTGAGTTATCAGATTGGAGTTTGATTGGGTTATGGATTGATTGATGGTTGATTGGCAAAACTAGTCGTCTGTAATTGGAAAACGCAAACAATAGCTGGGGTTTTTTTACAAGCTGAGCGATTGTCCTTAGTCGGATTCTAGCTGATTTCGACGACTTTAACCCTAAATAACACCACCCCTGCACTCACAGGCATCTCCCCTTCAAAACCCCCAACCTTCCCAACCACGATTGTTCGCCGTTCACCTCCGCCACTCACCTTAGGGTTTTGTGAAATCAATTGAATTTGGGTTTGATTGTAGGCTTTTTCTTTTTGAGTTGTTGAATTAGAGTTTGATTGGATTGTGGAATTGAATTGATTGTTTATTGATTGAGTTCTTTTTCTGCCTTTTCCCCTACCGTCAGCCACCTCTTCTCCTGACCTCTTCCTATCGGATATATGAGATTTAGGGGCCTAAATGTAAAGATCTAAAGGTTTGTAGAAACGGTGTGTTTTGTATAATTGAAAACTATAAAAACAGACCACCTGTAACATATTCAGTTAGAGAAAGAATTCCAAATTTTTACTCATTTTGCTTGTCTCTTTCGTTGCATCTTTTCTCTGTATTTATGCTGAGTTTATTTCTTGTTTTTAGTAAATCTTTCATGGTATCAGAGCCAAAGACAAACATCAATGGCTAATCTAAATCCTAAGATCATGAATTTCAGTTCAAAATCTGGAGTCGAGTAGACTGGTACTGAGAATGCAGGAAATCCAGTTGTTCAATCTATTCTACCGAATCATTTTGTAAAATTAGGGGAAAGGAACTTCAACTATTGGCATTCACAAATTCTTCCCGCCCTAGCTTCTCATGAGCTTGATGGATTTGTTACAGGTGAGAATCTTTGTCATCTTATGTTTCAAATTGAAAAATCATCATATTGTGAGTTAGGAATTAAGAAACCAAACCCTAGGTACTCTAGCTGGAAGAGAACATATCAATTTCTGGTAAGTTGGTTGATTTCATCCATATTAGAATCCATGTTTAGACACATAGCTAAATGTACTAGTGCCTATGAAATTTAGAATACTTTAGAGCTTTATTTTTAGTCCTTTTCGAAAGCTAAGACACTGCATTTGCATAATCTATTACAAAGTACTAAGAAGGAATCTTTAAGTGTAAATGAGAATATTTTGAAGATGAAAGAGTATGGTGATGAGTTCATTTCAAGTGGAGTTCAAATTGGAGAGTAAAAACTACTCTTGTATATCTTGGATGGTTTAGGACCAAAATTTGATGCTATGGCCACTAATATGATGGCTAATAATAGTCAAGCTACTCTTCAAGAAGCTCAGATATTGTTACACAAACATGAGATGAGACTTGAAAAACAGAACAATGCTCTGTCCAGTTTTCATGAGCATATGGCTTCAACACTACTTCCTTCTAAGCAAGGCTCTATTGAGTCAAATGAAGGAGTATCTCAACTTCAAGCTTTTGGTTCACAAGGGATAGTATTTACTAATCCTCAGTTGTCACCAATACAGTCAAGATTGATTCCTTACCAAAATCAGAATTCATATGTTCAATACCTGTTAATGTTCTTGCATTCAATTATGTATCCTCACCTTGGCTTTTCTCAATTTGTTTCCTCTGGACTGATGTCTTTCCTTAATAATGGCATAAGAGGCAGAGGTAGAGGGCGAGGATATGTAAAGCCATGTTTGGTGTGTTACGTTTGTGGTAAAACAAAGCACTCGGCCATCCAATGTTATCACCATTTTGATCATAACTATCAAGGTTTTACAGCTTCTGGTCACAATACCATGCCAAACTATCCTACACCAGGTCCTTCACCAAGCTTCAATGTTCAACAATCAGTAGCCTCTTTTTCAAAATCAACACATGAACCTGCATAAGCTTTGTTTGCTACAAATTGTGCATCACTAAGAGCCTTTCATAATTCATATGAAGCATCATGACCTGTTAGCCAAGAATGGTTCTCCAGCCTCTTCTCAAGATTTTAATGGCCCTCTTCCTTCTCAATACCATCATTTATAGCATTCTACTGATAGGGGTGTTTAAAAGAACCGGTTGGAACCGGAACCGGCAGGTACCCTAGGTTTGGTTCCGGTTCCTACCCAGAACCAGTTGTCAATGGGTAGGTTTCGGTTCCAAATTTTTGAAACTGTTACTGTGCGGTTCTAGTTTCGGTTCCTATAGTTAGAAACCGGAACCAAGAACCAGGAACCGAGACTAATATAAAATAAAATTAAAGATTAGGGGGGTTAATAGAAACTTTTTATAGAAAAAGTAATGTGAATACATTTATATTTATATTTCATAACATTTAAAGTAAGTTGGTTTGACTTTTGACAATCTATCTTTACAAAGTAATGGAGTTTGTAATTTGTAATTTTATTTTTGTTAACAAGTGCCAAGTGGGGGGGTATTTGTAAGTTTTTAAGAGTTTTTTTGCCACTTTTTAAAAATTTTGGGGGGTCATGTAATTTTACAGGGTACCCAGAATCAGAACCAGAACCGTTGTTACAGGTTCTGGTTCTGGGTACTTAGGAACCGGAACCGTCGGTTCTGGTTCTGGTTCCAAATTTCAAGGAACTGTTGGTTCCGGTTTCGGTTTCGGTTCCTTCAAAAAATGCAGGGTACCCGGAACCGAACACCCCTATCTACTGATGGATCTCCTCATCAGCATTCAGCCTTAATGTCAATTCCTTTTGCACAGACTATGGCAACAACACATACTCTTAATGACCAATCCTGGTACATGGATTCGGGAGCTTCAAATCATGACTGTTGATTCAACATATATGGTGATAAAGGCTAATTATCAAGGAGGATCTTAGGTGCAAGTTGGGAATGGCCAGTCCATACCTATCACACATACAGGTATGATCTCATTGCCCTCAGTTGTACCTTGTAGAGCTTTACAATTGTATAACATTTTATATATTCCACGTATCACTAAAAACATGTTGAGTATCTCGCAAATTACTAAAGAGAACAATGTAATGATTGAATTTCATGATGATTTTTGCCTGGTAAAGGATAAGTTTAGCCACGAAGTTCTTCTCCATGGAACTGTCAAAGATGGCCTCTATCGATTGACATTTCCAAGAGGAGTCTCTTCTTCAGCAATTCACTCTACTGTTGTTGTTATTTCTTCAAATGTGTGTGATGTTACTACTCGGACAACCTCTGGTTGTTCTTCTTCAGCTAATGTTGAGATCAATTAGTTGAATTCTGACCTTTCTTCAAATAGTACTTCAGTTTCTCCAATTGTTATTTCTTCAAATGTTGGTGGTGTTATTGCTCAAACTATCTCTGGTTGTTCTTCTTCAACTGCTGCCAAGCTCAATCAGTTAATTTCTGACTCTTCTTCAGTTGGTACTCTAGTTTATTCAGTTGCTTGTAATCAATCAAAGTCTGTTTCCAATAATACTATGTTGTGGCATGCACGATTGGGACACCCAAATACTAAAGTGCTTACTGTTGTTTTAAATAAAATGCATGTAAGACATTCCATTGATAATAATAATCAACTATTTTGTGAAGCCTACTAGTTTGGCAAACTGCAGCAATGTTGATTTCCAAGTTCACAGTCTAGAGCAAAGCATCCGTTCGAAATAGTATATTTAGATTTGTGGGGGCTAGCATCTATGACTTCTACTGAAGGTTATAAGTATTATATCATCTTTGTAGATGATTTTAGTAGGTATGTTTGGATTTACCCTTTAAAGTTTAAGTCTGAGGCCTTTGATGTTTTTACTCAATTCTACTGTTTTGTTGAAAATCAACTAAATACCAAGCTTAAATGCTTGCAAACAGACTGGGGTGGCAAATATAGGCCATTTGCTAACTATTTGCAGAAGCGTGGTGTGTTATTTAGGCATCCTTGCCCGTATATTCATCAGCAAAAAGGGCGTGTGGAAAGAAAACATAGGATGATCATTGAATTTGGATTGTCCCTACTAGCACATGCTGGAATGCCCTTAAAATTTTGGTGGACAGCCTTTAGCACAGCTACTTACCTCTTAAATAGACTTCCTTCAGTAGCCATTGGATTTATCTCACCTTTTCAGTGTTTGCTTAATCAAGAACCAGACTATACCATGGTAAAAGTGTTTGGTTGCAGCTATTTCCCATACCTTAGACCTTATCAGCCACACAAACTTTCATTTCACATAGAAAAATGTATGTTTCTTGGGTACAACCTTGCACACAAAACGTATAGGTGTATGGCAGCTTCTAGTAGAATTTATGTAGTAAAGTAAGTGAGGTTCAATGAGACTGACTTTCCTTTCAAGTCTGATTTTCAAAATACAGCATCTGATTCTAAAAAATCCATAGAAAAACTTGGTTCTTCTCAAGCATGGTTTCTGCTATATAGTGCTCAACCATTGTCAAACTCCAACTCTAGAGCCTTTATACATGAGGGCACTTCTAATTGCAATCTTTAGTCTGCTCCATCCTCCTCTCATCCTCCAATACCAGTTGTAGTAGAATCATCTTCTGATCATCCACATAATGTTGAATGTCCATCTACTACAGGGTGTTCTAGTCCTCAGTCTATGGCTAATGTTCCTGTAGTTTCAAAACATCTCATGACTTATGATCCTAATGCGTCTGCTGTCTCTTATTCTGGTCCTGTAATTGCTAATCATGAAGTTTCTCCTAATAATATGCCTACTTGGTTCATTCAAAATTAGAATCCTCCTAGCATTCACTTGGAGGTAGTGTTACCCATGTCTTCCTCTAATGCTCCATCAGACAATGTCCACCCATGATCACTAGATCCAAGTCTAAGGCACATGTTCTTCTAGCAACTCATGGTATATTGGTAGAACCAAAATCTATCACCGAAGCATTGAATACTCCAGAATGGAAGGAGGCTATGAATGCTGAGTATCAAGCACTCTTGGATAATAAAACATGGGAACTAGTTCCATATGAAGAGGGTATGAATGTAGTTGGTAGTAAGTAGGTATTTAAAACCCAATTACACTATGATGGATCACTTTAGAAGTACAAGGCCAGGTTGGTAGCCAAAGGATTCCAACAAACTCCTGGCCTTGATTATTTTGATACTTTTTCCCCTGTAGTTAAGGCAACTAAAATTCGAATTATTTTGTCTTTAGCAGTTTATAATGGCTGGGAATTACAACAATTGGATGTAAATAATGTGTTTTTAAATGGTGAATTAACAAAGCAAGTATTCATGATGCCTTCTGAAGGGTTTTTTTATTTCTCTCAGACAAAGCAAGTGTGTAGACTACATAAGGCATTATATGGCCTTAAGTAGGCTCCTAGAGCCTGGTTTGACAAGTTAAGGGCTGCATTATTGGCTTGGGGTTTTACAAATTTTGCTTCCAATGTAAGTCTTTTCCTTTACAAAAAAGACTCTCACATTGTATATCTCCTAGTCTATGTAGACGATATATTGCTTCCAGGAAATAATCCATAACCACTTTCTCAAATTGTGAAAGATCTTAATGACCAATTTGCTTAAAAAATCCTTGGTCTAGTGAGCTACTTTCTAGGATTTGAAGTTAAAAGAATTGATGCAGGGCTACTACTAACTCAAAGTAAATATGCTCAAGAGTTTCTACTTAAGGCTGGTATAGAGAGCTCTAAACTTTGTTCTACACCTATGGCTATAGGAACTTGACTAGGAAAGGAAGATAGTGATCCATTTGAACAACCTTCTCTCTATCGAAACATTATAGGGGGGCTGCAATACTTGATTTTGTCTAGACCTAATCTAGCATTTGCTATGAATAAATTAAGTCAATTCCTTCAACATCCCACTGTCAACCACTGGACAACATGCAAAAGAATATTGAGCTATGTCAAGGGCACTGTTAAGCATGGTTTGTCATTCACAAAGAAAGATCATTTCTCCCTTGAAGCCTTTGTTGATGCTGATTGGGCGAGCGATATCACTAATAGGAGATCAAGTACAGGCTATAGTGTGTTTGGTTGTGGAAACTTAGTTCAGTGGAGCTCCTGGAAACAAAAGGTAGTTTCTTTGTCTTCTACAGAAGTTGAATACAAATCTCTCAGCCATACTACTACTGAAATTGTGTGGATCAAACAATTGTTTATTGAACTAGGAATAAATATTCCTAATACGCATGTTATTTAGTGTGATAACATGAGTGTAAGGGCTTTGTCTACCAACCCTGTACTTCATGCGTGAACTAAGCATATAGAAATAGATGTGCATTACCTTCGTGACTTAGTTGCCCAGAAAAGTGTCAGTGTTAAGTATGATGCCTCTGAATTTCATATTGCTGATATTTTAACCAAAGCTCTTCCAAGTAATAGGTTGGCTTTCTTAAGGGAGAATCTAAATGTTACTGATAAGTTGCCTGAATAAGGTTGTACAAGAGCAGAGAACGAGCAAAAGTGGAACAGAGAAACTGTGGAAGAAAGTTTAGAGGTGCAGATGTGTTTTTGGTTAAGAAGGGATATTGGATATGTGAAGGTAAGAAAATACAGTAGAAAATGTTAAGAGTAATAGAAGTGGCATAAGTCCTGGATATGTAGCAAAAAGTTCAGAGGTACAAATATGTTTTATTTAAGAGGGGATGTTGGATATGTGAAGGGCAAAAAATGTAGCAGAGAATTTCAGAGTTGAAGACATGCTTTGTTTAATAGGGGATATTGGATATATGAGATGTTAGGGGCCTAAATGTAAAGATCTAAAGGTTTGTAGAAACGGTGTGTTTTGTATAACTGAAAACTATAAAAAAAAACAGACCACCTGTAACAGATTCAATTAGAGAAAGAAATTCCAGAATTTTACTCATTGTGCTCGTCTCTTTCGTTGCATCTTTTCTCTATATTTTTGTTGAGTTTATTTCTTGTTTTTAGTAAATCTTTCACACGCCTGCCACCTGATCAATTAATTGCCCCAACCAAATTACTCATCAACCACCCTTTCAAGTTATGATGAAAAGACAATTTTAGCCTTTAATTGTTAAAAAGAAAACAATTAATGGTGTCACTTTAAGGATGAGAATATGTAATAAATGAAACTAGGGGTGAAAACTTGTCCTTTCACTAATCTTTGGGTGGGAACATGTTGTTTGCTCATCTTTTTAATATTTGAAAATGTGTTTCATATAAAATATAAAAATTGATTTCAGATTAAAAGTTGTAGACAGCTTTCAAAATCGTCTTCTAATTTTACACTAGTTTTTAGGAATTAGGATTGTATTCAAAAACTATTTTTAAAAATATTCTACTTCTTTTTACCAACTGCATTTTTATAACATTTGTTGTATCTTTATTTTCAAAAACAAAAATTGTATTTATTTTACCAAACGCATTATTATAACATTTGTTGTATCTTTATTTTCAAAATAAAAAAAAAAAATTGTATTTAAAATATATATCAAACGGCCTGTAACAATTCAAACATATCCCACTCGTTAATTGTATTGCTGAATTTCAAGGAACAGAATGCAATCTTGAATTTTAAGCAATTTAGTGAAATAGGTCACAATAATGTTATGCTTACTCACGAACTTACTAATCTTTGTAAATATAAAACATAGTACGGGTACCATAAGCATAGTATGGGTACCATATGTAATTTTAACAAAAGTGAATAAAGTAGTTAGTAAATTCGTGAGTAAGCATAACATTACTCTATACGTAATACGGTCATGGTATTTTATCGAGATGTCTTTAACCTCTCTTTTTCAATTTGTTTTGTTGGTGGCATAAGCTGCTCTTAGCTCACATAATTGCCACCTCTTCATAGAAAATGCTTCAACCTTGACACAACCAAAGCTACTCAATAATGTCCCAGGAACCAGAAGTGGTTACAAGTGAGTAAGAATTATTATCCAGAGATCAAATTCTCGTTATCTCTTGTTAATTATAAACTAATACAATAAAAATAAAATATAAAACTAAATACTAGTTCAACCCAAAATTAAAATTAATTACATAAACTAAATACTATTTAAATGAATCTAAGATAGAATTTATAGAACTTTAAATAAGATAAAGACTAAAATTAATTCACTCAATAAAACCTACCAAAACTATGACTGTAAAATAAATCAACGTAATTTTATTTTCAAGCACAAAGAGAGGGAAATTGCAGTGGGAGATTTTGCAAACAAGACATCTAGACATCTGAAGTGTCATTCTTTTGGGCCATTTGGGAATGCAGATTACAAGCTAAAGCTGCCAAATGGGTCTAACATATCTTTACATAGGAAACAATTGGCGGGTGTCAATCGTTGGTGGCAAGGGCAGACTGTAGTACATCTTCAAGATATTTCTCAGCAGCAGCATACTGTCTCTTTTTGTCCTCAATAGCTAAAGCAGCCAAAGCTTTATCCTGCACAAACAGAAATTTTTTTATCGATCCCATCCAAAATGTATGAATTTAGAAGTATAATGACGGTGTTGTATTTAATAAAACACAGAATTACCGGCGGCAAGTCTTGGTAGCTCCTTAGAGTATCCAGGATGGGTTTTGTCTTCTTCTCTAACTCTTTTCTGTGCTCAGCCATTTCAGCCAACACCCCGTGGCTAATCTCAGGGGTATAGCCCAGACGATTGAGTAATGCCTGTGGAAAAGGGATTTGGTGCAAATTATACACAAATGAAACAAAATGTAGGTGATATACGAATAATTGATTTGAGAGCAACTCATCCTTTGAAGCTTCATTGAAAACAAACATAAAAAGAGAAAACCATATTCAATCTGGATCCAGGATTCCAATTTAAACAGCAGGAGTGGAAGTACAAAGGCAACAACTCCAATAAAAAAATCTAGACTGACAGAGTTCCATAATGTAAATTTTGAGAAGAAATACAATATCTATAATCCCATACTTTTACACTCATATACATAAATATGTTAAATATTTGAATAGAGAAAACAAAAACATGATATAGAAAACATAACAAGTGAAGAAAGAAAGGGTCTTCGGTGTTTCAATATTTAAAAGCCCCATATGACTTTGTCTAGCCTTGACTTTTTTGGTTGCATTCGCAACGTAAATAATTGTGTCGCACCTGATTACACTTGGTGCAAGAACCTAGAAGTATATTTAAAAGAAAATATGAAATATCTAATAATAGCTAAAGAGTAATGAAGAACAAATGAGCTGATGTTGCGCAATCAAATTGTCTTTTAATTGTACAGCCAGCAAATCGATATTTTTTTTTTTTTTTTTCTGCTAAGTGTTTTATTTACTTTTAAGAGTGATTTTTCTCCTATTGTAGATTCCATCAAATAACCACTTGAATCAATAGATGCACCACCACAACCACAACTGAACTTTTAAAAATACCAGAAGAATAAGTTGCATTCTAACTTTTTTGCCGCCTAATCAAGGTTGCACCTTGGAAAGTGTTAGGATCCCACATTGAGAGGGAAAAGGGGTAGACATGTGGTTTATAAGGAGTTGGACACCCTCCCTTGACAAGCTGGTTTTCCAAAGAGAGTTCTACCCAAGCCCAGAAAAGCACCACTGCCCAGCCCAATTCCCATCAAAGGCCCACTATCCAATCTAATTCTTATCAATTTGGGAGATGATTCCTATCAAATGGTATCAGAGCAAGCCCCACCTTCCGAGCACACGCAGTAGGGCCTAGTGGCCCCCCCCGAAGGGCCGAGAAGGAGGGTTGCTGACAGGCTTCTGGGCGAAGTAAGACCCGAAGGAAGGGCAATAAGGGCAATGAGGGCGGGGTAGCTGATGAGGGCGGGTGCTCTTTAGAAAGAAGACCAACAAAGGCATTTGTCTCAAAGTGTGGGGGAATGTTAGGATCCCACATTGAGAGAAAAAAGGGGTGGGTATGTGATTTATAAGGAGTTGGGAACCCTCTCTTGACAAGCCGGTTTTTAAAGAAGAGTTCTATCTAAGTTCACAAAAGGATCATTGCCCAACCCAATTCCTATCAAAAGCCCACTGCCCAGCCTAATCCCTATCAATTTGGGAGTGGGTTCCTATCAGAAAATGGAAAAATGTTTGCATCCAGCATTTCAAGGAAATCTAATAATCAATAGAAAGGGTTATTTCATTGTTATAAAAAGTAATTACAAGTCACTAATTTTTAGGGCCAACAAGCTCGAGAGAAAATCAAATTCATTCAACTGTTAAATCTTGAGAGAGACATGTTCGCATCCAATATTTCAAGGAAATTAAATAATCAAGAGAAAGAGTATTGAATTTCTAGGTTCACTAATTTTTGGGGGCCAACCAAGCTTGAATTGAAAATCAAATTCATATCAATTGCTAAAGCTTGAGAGAATGTAATGTTTGCATCCAGTGTTTCAAGAAAACAAATTAGGAAGAGAAAGGGCATTGAATTTCATTCTTTTAGAAGGTCACTATAGGGTTCAATAATTTTTTTGGGCCAACAAAGCTTGAGAGAAAATCAAATTCAATTCAAATGCTAAAGCCACATACACAACCTGTTTTGATAGTTCTTCAAGTTGAACAACAATTAAGAGGCTGAGATCACATTACAGAGAAAGCCATTCAAGTGGAGTTCACTGAATCTATAACCAGCACAAAGAAATTTAAGAAATGAATCAAACTACATTATTTTTCCTCAATTTCCCTAGTCAACTTTGTTAATACTTCCAACATTAAACTTCCAAATAACAAATTAACATAAAATTTTTTGCAATTGAAAATATTTGATGAAAGGGATTCCTTAATGAAACCAAAATCAAATGAGGTTCTTAAAGATGATGCTAACTGAAAATTTTCTAATCCCTAAACTTCTCATAAAATCAAGACAAATGATGGGTGTACAATTTCCTATGAACCGATTCTATGTCATATAAAATATTTCTTTGTCTAGTCATGTCATATATTTCTCTCATTTAAATATCCACTTCCTTCATTTTTCTCATAATTCCACTCTTAGTCAAATGACTTTCAAAACCTCACCTCCCTAATTCATATTCTAACAAGTACTTCTTAAGATGCATAACCATGTAGAACCAAATGGTTTAATTTGTTACCTGGGTCTACTAGCCTCAAGCTTTGATACGACTAATATCCACTGTAGAAGAGATCAGAATCCTAGAACAAGATCAATATATGTCATGAATATCAAATCTTCTTCAAATCACGAATGTAGGCATCCTTATAAACTTTCAAATGTAATGAATCTTCACAGGCCTTGTTCCTTCATATACCCACATGGTATTTGTACAATTTAATCATACTAAACTGTATTGTCGAGACATCCAAGGATGACAGTGACACTAGCCAAATTAAAGAATCCAGGAAACTTAAAAATAAATTCCTAGTGTCTAATCTGGACCTACTTCATGACAAAAACAAAATTTGGAGGAGTGTGTAAAAAGAATAAGTAAATTCTTAAAACTTCTCTCGACCTTGGAATTGTTGAAAATATTCAATACCAACAACAGGAGAGCATGAAAATTTGGACCTGCATCCTGACTTAAACAAAATTTGGAGGAGTGCGTGAAAAGAATTAAGCAATTGCTCAAAACTTCTCTCAACCTTGAAATTGTTAAAATATGCAATACCAACAACAGGAGAGCATGAAAATTTTCCTATTAGCATATGAAAGCTACTGTATCTCTCTCCAAATCTATTAGTTGATTTCAATGAAGTTGCAGAAAGATAAAAACGACAGCTGTCCTGCCAAAGGTTCCTTCATCAAGTTTCATTATGCCCTTAGCAAAATGTCAATCAAATGAAGTTTCTAAGGTGAGTTAGTGCCAAAGTCTCATTTCAAATTATCTTCTCCAATCCTTTATGAGCTACTTTAACTCCTTCCTCAACAAGTGATCATATTAAATTCCTCAAATAATCTCTTAAAAGATGGGCAACTCTCAGAATGGGCTCTAAGTGAGAGTTGAATGTCATAATACTAAGTGACTTTCTTTGTCAAATTCTTTGCAAGTAATTCTTCTCCATTTAACATAGGGAGGCCAAAAAGAGCCTCACCTTCTAATATTACTTCGGAAATAATAAAAGTAACAACAAAAGATCAATACCTTGTAGTTGTTATACTGCTGCAGGTACTGTCGCTCCTTCGATGCCATTACTGCCAAGTTGGTCTTCCAATTTTCCATTTGAGCTTCACAAGGAGCTACATCATCTTCTAGTTGCGCAAGTGTTCTACCAAAGTAAATCAAACAACAGATATAGATTCCAAGATCCAATTCAAGGATATTCCACGGCAAGAACNATGACTTAAGTATATATTTCTAAAATTAATTAAAAATACACACTTTTTTTGTCTTTCCAAGTTAAGCCACTTAAATATTTTATAATAGATAAATTTAATTTTTCGAAAGGTTTTAAAATTTCTTGCATAATTTTTTTTTTTTGGGGGGTGGGGGGGTGGGGTTTGTAAATAGAACCGAGGATAAAATTGTCATTGTGAGTGATGGGTGTTCTTAGTAATCTTCATAGTTAGGAGATGCAAATAGTTTCTCAAGTTTTAGTGGTGAGTGGTATAATTTTTTAAACCCTTTAATTTCATTATCACTTATACACCTTTATTTGATTACCTACCGCTTCCCACTGCCGGCAATGGCCTGGCAGGCCTGCCAAGACTGGCGAATTCTACTTCAGTTTGAATTTTTTTAATAATTAATTAAATGATATTTATTTAATATAAATTCAATTTTACTTCATAATTATAAAAATATTTTGTAGAAACTATGTCCCTTCTATCATTATACTTATAAACAATTTACAAATAAAATTTTATCAATCACAAATTTATAATTTTTTAAAATTTAATTTACCAAAAATCAAATAATCAAAACTCATATTTATCTGGCATTTATTTCATCATCTTTATTTCTATTTTTTACAAAAATAATACTACACATACAACATTCTCATACAACATTATGTGGCAAAAAATGATTGGGTAAAAGTTTAATTTTAATTTAAAATCAATCAATCATATTTTATCACGTAATACTATATGAGAAATATTGTATAAAAATATATGTTTAGTATTTACTCTTCTCACAATTGCAATATTATTATACACAGTTGTGGAGCCACATCCAAGCAGGGGTGAATTTTATATAGAATATTATATTTTGTCCAGGAAATTAAATAATCAAGAGAAAGGTATTGAATTTCTAGGTTCACTAATTTTGAGGGCAACCAAGCTTGATTGAAAATCAAATTCATATCAATTGCTAAAGCTTGGAGAATGTAATGTTTGCATCCAGTGTTTCAAGAAAACAAATTAGGAAGAGAAAGGGCATTGAATTTCATTCTTTTAGAAGGTCACTATGGGTTCAATAATTTTTAGGGCCAACAAAGCTTGAGAGAAAATCAAATTCAATTCAACTGCTAAAGCCACTACACAAACTGTTTTGATAGTTCTTCAAGTTGAACAACAATTAAGAGGCTGAGATCACATTACAGAGAACCATTCAAGTGGAGTTCACTGAATCTATAACAGCACAAAGAAATTTAAGAAATGAATCAAACTACATTATTTTTCCTAATTTCCCTAGTCAACTTTGTTAATACTTCCAACATTAAACTTCCAAATAACAAATTAACATAAATTTTTGCAATTGAAAATATTGATGAAAGGGATTTCTTAATGAAACCAAAATCAAATGAGGTTCTTAAAGATGATGCTAACTGAAAATTTTCTAATCCCTAAACTTCTCGTAAAATCAGACAAATGATGGGTGTACAATTTCCTATGAACCGATTCTATGTCATATAAAATATTCTTTGTCTAGTCATGTCATATATTTCTCTCATTTAAATATCACTTCCTTCATTTTTCTCATAATTCCACTCTTAGTCAAATGACTTTCAAACCCTCATCCGTAATTCATTTCTAACAAGTACTTCTTAAGATGCATAACCATGTAGAACAAATGGTTTAATTTGTTACCCGGGTCTACTAGCCTCAAGCTTGTACGAACTATCATCATGTAGAAGAGATCAGATCCTGAACAAGACAATATATGTCATGAATCAATCTTCTTCAAATCACGAATGTAGGCATCCTTATAAACTTTCAAATGTAATGAATTTCACAGGCTTTTTTCCTTCAATACCACATGGTTTGTACAATTAATCATACTAAACTGTATGTCGAGACATCCAAGGATGACAGTGACACTAGCCAAATTAAGAATCCAGGAACTTAAAAATAAATTCCTAGTGTCTAATCTGGACCTACTTCATGACAAAACAAAATTTGGAGGAGTGTGTAAAAAGAATAAGTAAATCTTAAAACTTCTCTCGACCTTGAATTGTTGAAAATATTCAATACCAACAACAGGAGAGCATCAAAATTTGGACCTGCATCTGACTTAAACAAAATTTGGAGGAGTGCGTGAAAAGAATTAAGCAATTGCTCAAAACTTCTCTCAACCTTGAATTGTTAAAATATGCAATACCAACAACAGGAGAGCATGAAAATTTTCCTATTAGCATATAAATCTACTGTATTCTCTCCAAATCTATAGTTGATTTCAATGAAGTTGCAGAAAGATAAAAACGACAGCTGTCTGCCAAAGGTTCCCCATCAAGTTTCATTATGCCCTTAGCAAAATGTCAATCAAATGAAGTTTCTAAGGTGATGAGTGCCAAAGTCTCATTCAAATTATCTTCCCAATCCTTTGAGCTACTTTAACTCCTTCCTCAACAAGGATCATATTAAATTCTCAATAATCTCTTAAAAGATGGGCAACTACTCCGAATGGGCTCTAAGTGAGGTTGAATGTCATAATACTAAGTGACTTTCTTTGTCAAATCTTTGCAAGAATTCTTCTCCATTTAACATAGGGAGGCCAAAAGAGCCTCACCTTCTATATTACTTCGAAATAATAAAAGTAACAACAAAAGATCAATACCTTGTAGTTGTTATACTGCTGCAGGTACTGTCGCTCCTTCGATGCCATTACTGCCAAGTTGGTCTTCCAATTTTCCATTTGAGCTTCACAAGGAGCTACATCACTTCTAGTTGCGCAAGTGTTCTACCAAAGTAAATCAAAAAAAAGATATAGATTCAAGATCCAATTCAAGGATTATCCACGGCAAGAACTAAAATTGCATTTAAAAGAAAAGTAATCTAAGACATACCTTTTCAATAGGTTAACCTTGCAATTGCTTGCGGGTGTAATCCAGAAGAATTTTAGAACTCCTTGCGTACTTTTGCTTCTTCTCCTGTACAGCAGTTTTTCTCAACGAAATATCACCCATTGCTACAAGAAAACTGAAAAAATTTGAACCAATCAAGAATTGTAAAAAAATTAAAAATTAAAAAAAAAAACAAAAATGAAGAGCAATAATATTGAAGAATAAAGAAACACCCACTGCTAAGTTAGTGTCTCTTATATTCAACAAATTAGCTACGTTAGCAGAAATTGAGCTGAAGAAACCACATTAGATGGCAAACTCTCTGTTGCCAGTCCCACATTCCAAAATCTCTCTAATCCTTGCAGCTAAGACCATTCAAATAACAAAAAATTAGACGAATTAAAATTGAAAACCCAAAAGAAAGAAGAAGTAATTAAAAATTAGTACCTGTGAGCGATACTCGGTGGCTTTGGCGAAAATCAGCAGCGACAATGTTGGCAGCTTGGGTCTTGGCTTGTGAAAGAGTTACTAAATTGTACAAATGAGCGACGCTTCGAGGCGTGTATTCGAAATCAGGAACTTCTTTTCCAGCTGCTTCAAATTGTGAGGCCAACCACGCCTTAACTTCGGCAATTCGCGACGCATCGCTACCTGCTCCGCTCTTTACGGAATTGTCACCGGAGAATCAATTATGTCGCTCATTGGTAACCAATCTGTAAACGGAGAGAGTGGATCAAACAATTTTGAGATCAAGAACACTGAATAAGAATGTTTTGATGGGTTAAAAGGGAACTGAAGAAAGGAGTAAGAAGACGATTTAGTGAAGGCCAATCTTTGGTAAGTACTGATCATCTCAAATTATCCAACGGTTAAGCAGTTGCTTAGTGGGCCCAAGTATTTAAGAAATGAAAATTTTGCCTCCCTAGCTGTTTAATTTTGGGTCCTTTCAACCTGAAACTTAAGAAACTAACTTTGCCTCCCTAACTACCAAACTATCAAAAACACAACCCGCCGTTAGTTAATGGTGTTAACCGTGTTAAAATAACTTTATAGGTTTAATCAGTCTTTTTACTTACAGATTTTTAAATTAAGAATAAACTAAAAAATTCAGATATGAAAAAGGAATTAAAAAATTTTAAAAAGGAAATTCAAGAAAAAAAATTGAAAAAATAAAAAAAAAATTATGTGCAATTGAACTAGTGATTGAGATCATGACTACAATCTCCATTACGCCAAACTTCAACTTGCAAATAGTTGGTTGTAATTTGCAAATCACGGCTTGCAATCTACAGCGTTAGCAGTGATCAAAAGATCATAGCCAATGATCTAAGATCGTCGACTACAATTGTTTTTTTTTTTTTTTTTTACAGAGTAAGTGTATTTTATCGAGATGTCTTTAACCTCTCTTTTTCAATTTGTTTTGTTGGTGGCATAAGCTGCTCTTAGCTCACATAATTGCCACCTCTTCATAGAATGTGCTTCAACCTTGACACAACCAAAGCTACTCAATAATGTCCCAGGAACCAGAAGTGGTTACAAGTGAGTAAGAATTATTATCAAGAGATCAAATTCTCGTTATCTCTTGTTAATTATAAACTAATACAATAAAAATAAAATATAAAACTAATTACTAGTTCAACCCAAAATTAAAATTAATTACATAAACTAAATACTATTTAAATGAATCTAAGATAGAATTTATAGAACTTTAAATAAGATAAAGACTAAAATTAATTCACTCAATAAAACCTACCAAAACTATGACTGTAAAATAAATCAACGTAATTTTATTTTCAAGCACAAAGAGAGGGAAATTGCAGTGGGAGATTTTGCAAACAAGACACCTAGACATCTGAAGTGTCATTCTTTTGGGCCATTTGGGAATGCAGATTACAAGCTAAAGCTGCCAAATGGGTCTAACATATCTTTACATAGGAAAAAATTGGGGGTGTCAATCGTTGGTGGCAAGGGCAGACTGTAGTACATCTTCAAGATATTTCTCAGCAGCAGCATACTGCCTCTTTTTATCCTCAATAGCTAAAGCAGCCAAAGCTTTATCCTGCACAAACAGAAATTTTTTTATCGATCCCATCCAAAATGTATGAATTTAGAAGTATAATGACGGTGTTGTATTTAATAAAACACAGAATTACCGGCGGCAAGTCTTGGTAGCTCCTTAGAGTATCCAGGATGGGTTTTGTCTTCTTCTCTAACTCTTTTCTGTGCTCAGCCATTTCAGCCAACACCCCGTGGCTAATCTCAGGGGTATAGCCCAGACGATTGAGTAATGCCTGTGGAAAAGGGATTTGGTGCAAATTATACACAAATGAAACAAAATGTAGGTGATATACGAATAATTGATTTGAGAGCAACTCATCCTTTGAAGCTTCATTGAAAACAAACATAAAAAGAGAAAACCATATTCAATCTGGATCCAGGATTCCAATTTAAACAGCAGGAGTGGAAGTACAAAGGCAACAACTCCAATAAAAAAATCTAGACTGACAGAGTTCCATAATGTAAATTTTGAGAAGAAATACAATATCTATAATCCCATACTTTTACACTCATATACATAAATATGTTAAATATTTGAATAGAGAAAACAAAAACATGATATAGAAAACATAACAAGTGAAGAAAGAAAGGGTCTTCGGTGTTTCAATATTTAAAAGCCCCATATGACTTTGTCTAGCCTAGACTTTTTTGGTTGCATTCGCAAAGTAAATAATTGTGTCGCACCTGATTACACTTGGTGCAAGAACCTAGAAGTATATTTAAAAGAAAATATGAAATATCTAATAATAGCTAAAGAGTAATGAAGAACAAATGAGCTGATGTTGCGCAATCAAATTGTCTTTTAATTGTACAGCCAGCAAATCGATATTTTTTTTTTTTTTTTTCTGCTAAGTGTTTTATTTACTTTTAAAAGTGATTTTTCTCCTATTGTAGATTCAATCAAATAACCGCTTGAATCAATAGATGCACCACCACAACCACAACTGAACTTTTAAAAATACCAGAAGAATAAGTTGCATTCTAACTTTTTTGCCGCCTAATCAAGGTTGTACCTTGGAAAGTGTTAGGATCCCACATTGAGAGGAAAAAGGGGTGGACATGTGGTTTATAAGGAATTGGGCACCCTCCCTTGACAAGCCGGTTTTCCAAAGAGAGTTCTACCCAAGCCCAGTAAAGCACCATTGCCCAGCCCAATTCCTATCAGAGGCCCATTATCCAATCTAATTCTTATCAATTTGGGAGATGATTCCTATCAAATGGTATCAGAGCAAGCCCCACCTTCCGAGCACACGCAGTAGGGCTTAGTGGCCCCCCCGAGGGGGCGAGAAGGAAAGTTGCTGACAGGCTTCTAGGCGAAGTAAGACCAAAAGGAAGGGCAATAAGGCCAATGAGGGCGGGGTAGTTGATGAGGGCGGGTGCTCTTTAGAAAAAAGACCAACAAAGGCGTTTGTCTCAAAGTATGGGAGAATGTTAGGATCCCACATTGAGAGAAAAAAGGGGTGGGCATGTGATTTATAAGGAGTTGAAAACCCTCTCTTGACAAACCAGTTTTTCAAGGAGAGTTCTATCTAAGTTCACAAAAGGACCATTGCCCAACCCAATTCCTATCAAAAGCCTACTGCCCAGCCTAATTCCTATCAATTTGGGAGTGGGTTCCTATCAGAAAATGGAAACATGTTTGAATCCAGCATTTCAAGGAAATCTAATAATCAATAGAAAGGGTTATTTCATTGTTATAGAAAGTAATTACAAGTCACTAATTTTTTAGGGCCAACAAGCTCAAGAGAAAATCAAATTCATTCAACTATTAAATCTTGAGAGAAAGACGTGTTCGCATCCAATGTTTCAAGGAAATTAAATAATCAAGAGAAAGAGTATTGAATTTCTAGGTTCACTAATTTTTGAGGGCCAACCAAGCTTGAATTGAAAATCAAATTCATATCAATTGCTAAAGCTTGAGAGAATGTAATGTTTGCATCCAGTGTTTCAAGAAAACAAATTAGGAAGAGAAAGGGCATTGAATTTCATTCTTTTAGAAGGTCACTATAGGGTTCAATAATTTTTTAGGGCCAACAAAGCTTGAGAGAAAATCAAATTCAATTCAAATGCTAAAGCCACATACACAACCTGTTTTGATAGTTCTTCAAGTTGAACAACAATTAAGAGGCTGAGATCACATTACAGAGAAAGCCATTCAAGTGGAGTTCACTGAATCTATAACCAGCACAAAGAAATTTAAGAAATGAATCAAACTACATTATTTTTCCTCAATTTCCCTAGTCAACTTTGTTAATACTTCCAACATTAAACTTCCAAATAACAAATTAACATAAAATTTTTTGCAATTGAAAATATTTGATGAAAGGGATTCCTTAATGAAACCAAAATCAAATGAGGTTCTTAAAGATGATGCTAACTGAAAATTTTCTAATCCCTAAACTTCTCATAAAATCAAGACAAATGATGGGTGTACAATTTCCTATGAACCGATTCTATGTCATATAAAATATTTCTTTGTCTAGTCATGTCATATATTTCTCTCATTTAAATATCCACTTCCTTCATTTTTCTCATAATTCCACTCTTAGTCAAATGACTTTCAAAACCTCACCTCCCTAATTCATATTCTAACAAGTACTTCTTAAGATGCATAACCATGTAGAACCAAATGGTTTAATTTGTTACCTGGGTCTACTAGCCTCAAGCTTTGATACGACTAATATCCACTGTAGAAGAGATCAGAATCCTAGAACAAGATCAATATATGTCATGAATATCAAATCTTCTTCAAATCACGAATGTAGGCATCCTTATAAACTTTCAAATGTAATGAATCTTCACAGGCCTTGTTCCTTCATATACCCACATGGTATTTGTACAATTTAATCATACTAAACTGTATTGTCGAGACATCCAAGGATGACAGTGACACTAGCCAAATTAAAGAATCCAGGAAACTTAAAAATAAATTCCTAGTGTCTAATCTGGACCTACTTCATGACAAAAACAAAATTTGGAGGAGTGTGTAAAAAGAATAAGTAAATGCTTAAAACTTCTCTCGACCTTGAAATTGTTGAAAATATTCAATACCAACAACAGGAGAGCATCAAAATTTGGACCTGCATCCTGACTTAAACAAAATTTGGAGGAGTGCGTGAAAAGAATTAAGCAATTGCTCAAAACTTCTCTCAACCTTGAAATTGTTAAAATATGCAATACCAACAACAGGAGAGCATGAAAATTTTCCTATTAGCATATAAAATCTACTGTATCTCTCTCCAAATCTATTAGTTGATTTCAATGAAGTTGCAGAAAGATAAAAACGACAGCTGTCCTGCCAAAGGTTCCCTCATCAAGTTTCATTATGCCCTTAGCAAAATGTCAATCAAATGAAGTTTCTAAGGTGAGTTAGTGCCAAAGTCTCATTTCAAATTATCTTCTCCAATCCTTTATGAGCTACTTTAACTCCTTCCTCAACAAGTGATCATATTAAATTCCTCAAATAATCTCTTAAAAGATGGGCAACTCTCAGAATGGGCTCTAAGTGAGAGTTGAATGTCATAATACTAAGTGACTTTCTTTGTCAAATTCTTTGCAAGTAATTCTTCTCCATTTAACATAGGGAGGCCAAAAAGAGCCTCACCTTCTAATATTACTTCGGAAATAATAAAAGTAACAACAAAAGATCAATACCTTGTAGTTGTTATACTGCTGCAGGTACTGTCGCTCCTTCGATGCCATTACTGCCAAGTTGGTCTTCCAATTTTCCATTTGAGCTTCACAAGGAGCTACATCATCTTCTAGTTGCGCAAGTGTTCTACCAAAGTAAATCAAACAACAGATATAGATTCCAAGATCCAATTCAAGGATATTCCACGGCAAGAACTAAAATTGCATTTAAAAGAAAAGTTAATCTAAGACATTACCTTTTCAAATAGGTTAACCTTGCAATTGCCTTGCGGGTGTAATCCAGAAGAATTTTAGACTCCTTGCGTACTTTTGCCTTCTTCTCCTGTACAGCAGTTTTTCTCAACGAAATATCACCCATTGCTACAAGAAAACTGAAAAAATTTGAACCAATCAAGAATTGTAAAAAAATTAAAAATTAAAAAAACAAAAACAAAAATGAAGAGCAATAATATTGAAGAATAAAGAAACACCCACCTGCTAAGTTCAGTGTCTCTTATATTCAACAAATTAGCTACGTTAGCAAGAACTTGAGCTGAAGAAACCACATTAGATGGCAAACTCTCTTGTGCCAGTCCCACATTCTCCAAAATCTCTCTAATCCTTGCAGCTAAGACCATTCAAATAACAAACAATTAGACGAATTAAAATTGAAAACCCCAAAAGAAAGAAGAAGTAATTAAAATTTAGTACCTTGTGAGCGATACTCGGTGGCCTTTTGGCGAAAATCAGCAGCGACAATGTTGGCAGCTTGGGTCTTGGCTTGTGAAAGAGTTACTAAATTGTACAAATGAGCGACGCTTCGAGGCGTGTATTCGAAATCAGGAACTTCTTTTCCAGCTGCTTCAAATTGTGAGGCCAACCACGCCTTAACTTCGGCAATTCGCGACGCATCGCTACCTGCTCCGCTCTTTACGGAATCTGTCACCGGAGAATCAATTATGTCGCTCATTGTTAACCAATCTGTAAACGGAGAGAGTGGATTAAACAATTTTGAGATCAAGAACACTGAATAAGAATGTTTTGATGGGTTAAAAGGGAACCTGAAGAAAGGAGTAAGAAGACGATTTAGTGAAGGCCAATCTTTTGAGTAAGTACTGATCATCCTCAAATTAATCCAACGGTTAAGCAGTTGCTTTAGTGGGCCCAAGTATTTAAGAAATGAAAATTTTGCCTCCCTTGCTGTTTAATTTTGGGTTGTCGTTTACAACCCTGAAACTTAAGAAACTAACTCTGCCTCCCCTAACTACCAAAACTATCAAAAACACAACCTGCCGTTAGTTAATGGTGTTAACCGTGTTAAAATTAACTTTTATAAGGTTTAATCAGTCTTTTTACTTACAGATATTTTTAAATTAAAGAATAAACTAAAAAATTCAGATATGAAAAAGGAATTAAAAAAATTTACAAAAGGAAATTCAAGAAAAAAAAATTGAAAAAAATAAAAAAAATTTATGTGCAATTGTAACTAGTGATTGGAGATCATCGACTACAATCTCATATTACGGCAAACTTCAACTTGCAAATAGTTGGTTGTAATTTGCAAATCACGGCTTGCAATCTTAGAGTGTTAGCCAGTGATCAAAAGATAATAGCCAATGATCTAAGATCGTCGACTACAATTGCTTTTTTTTTTTTTTCTTACATGACTTAAGTATATATTTCTAAAATTAATTAAAAATACACACTTTTTTTGTCTTTCCAAGTTAAGCCACTTAAATATTTTATAATAGATAAATTTAATTTTTCGAAAGGTTTTAAAATTTCTTGCATTATTTTAATTTTTTTTTTTTTTGCGGGGGGAGTAATAGAACCGAGGAAAAAATTGTCATTGTGAGTGATGGGTGTTCTTAGTAATTTTCATAGTTTGGACTTAGGAGATGCAAATAGTTTCTCAAGTTTTAGTGGTGTAATTTATTAAACCCTTTAATTTCATTATCACTTGTACACCTTTATTTGATTACCGACCGCTTCCCACAGCCGGCAATGGCCTGCCAAGACTGGCGAATTCTACTTCAGTTTGAATTTTTTTAATAATTAATTAAATGATATTTATTTAATATAAATTCAATTTTACTTCATAATTATAAAAATATTTTGTAGAAACTACGTCCCGTCTATCATTATGCTTATAAACAATTTACAAATAAAATTTTGTCAATCACAAATTTATAATTTTTTAAAATTTAATTTACCAAAAATCAAATAATCAAAACTCATATTTATCTGGCATTTATTTCATCATCTTTATTTCTATTTTTTACAAAAATAATACTACACATACAACATTCTCATACAACATTATGTGGCAAAAAATGATTGGGTAAAAGTTTAATTTTAATTTAAAATCAATCAATCATATTTTATCACGTAATACTATATGAGAAATATTGTATAAAAATATATGTTTAGTATTTACTCTTCTCACAATTGCAATATTATTATACACAGTTGTGGAGCCACATCCAAGCAGGGGTGAATTTTATATAGAATATTATATTTTGTCCCTGTAATTCAGATTTCACTTTGGCCACCTCAGTTTTTGAACATCATATATATATATATATGTGTGTAACTTTTTCACTTGTGTAATCCTTTTTTTTTTTTTTTTTCTTTTGATAACCCATGTGTCTGGGCCAATTTGCGCCCACCTCAATTAAACTTTGAGGTCCATTGAACATTCTACATGTTCTTTTGAAACTACAATGTTATTCATTGAACCCTCCGGCCTGATTTCACAATAGAAATAAAAAGTTATGGCCACCAGCCACCTCTTTAGATTTAACTGTCTAACTGATAAGGTGAGAGTTGAGACTGCACTTAAATGGGGAAGAATGACAAAGGCCTACCTCTGTATATAGTTGCCATTTATAATTAATGGGCCGTTAAAAGTAGCTCTGCTTTCTTTTTCTTCATTTGAGAGGGGGAGATTTATCATGTAATCAAACAGTTAATACTTATGCATAACATTATAAATAAATAATATATGGATAAAATACTTTTATTCAAGTCTCAATTTACGGATTTCAAAGATAACAACCTATTATAAAAAATGAATTTACTCAAAACACTTTTCTTAAATACAACAGAACCAAATTGTGGGTAGTATCCCACTTTGTTGATCTACAACTACAAGTGAACACTATTTATAACCAACGAGTGGGTAATTGGGTATAAACTCACCTTCCAACATTAATTGCTTTAAATTTTATGGATCCATATATATTAACCTTCCATGCCAGCAGTTCCTTCACCACTCACCTAAGCTTCATTCATTCTACCTCAAAACTTCAGTCATGGCTTCTTCTTCCCCTTATCTAATCTTTGCCTTCTTCATCATTTTCCCATTTTCAATCACCAATTCAGCCCTGGCAGCCCGCCCCTTTTTTCACATTTTGAAGCCTCAATCCATGAACCAATTGTTACACTCACAGGATATTCCTCCTTTGCCCAAGCCTAAGCTTCCTTCATTGCCGCCATTCACTTCATCACCACTCCATTTTGCACCATTGCCCTCACCACCAGAGACAGAGATACCTCCTTCAATGGCACCCGCAATGCCACCATCACATGGTATCACTTCTTCACCACCTGAACCATCGGCATTGCCTCCAACCTCAGCATCCCCGAAACATTCGAAGCATAAATCACACCATAAACACTCTTCTTCACCACCTGCTCTCGTGCCACCGGCATCGCCTCCTTGCTCAAAATCACCACATGAAAGCACCTCTTTGGCACCAGTAGTGTCACCAGCATTGCCTCCTAGCACAACACCACCAAATCCATCGGCATTGCCCCCAAGCTCAGCATCACCAAAACATTCAAAGCATGAACCACCCCATAAAAGCACTTCTTCACCAACCGCCGTAGTGCCACCAGCATTGCCTCCTAGCGCGACACCGCCAGAAAATTCAGTGCCACCATCACCACATAAGAAGACTTTTTCAGCACCAAAATTACCTCCTAGCTCAAATTTGCCAAATCCTACAATTCCACCACATTTTCTGCCATTTCATAAATATTTTAAGCCACTCCTGCCCCCTTTTCCCACATTCCCAAATGTCACATTGCCTCCATCGCCAACAACTCCGTAGTAAAACTTCGGGAATTACTGTTTCTGTGGATTTTAAGAGAAAATCCGCAAGTATTGTGTTGTGTGCGTGTGTGTGTGTGTGTGTTTTTTAGTATGTCCGGCGATCTTGTCTGCTATGGAAGCTCTTTCGAATTCGTGTGATCTTTTTAACTTATTGTACCACGAGGTTCTTAATTAGTAGATTCTTCTAATATTGTGAGCTGAAATTATTCCTTCTTGCTCAAATTTCATTCATGTGGCTAGAAAATATTGGACTGAAACATTCACTTAATGGTTTCTCAGTTACCAAACAACATCAAATTAATAAATTGCATATACTGTAGAAGTATTTTTAATCACAATTAAGGGAAATTATAAAGAATGGGGTAATTATATTATATATATATATATGTTTCTTTGATCTCTCTAAAGTCGGACTGAAACAAATGGACAAATCTATCCAAAATTCATAACTCTCAAAATTTTTAGAAATAATTTCATATCAATTGTTGTTATGCAAAAATGCAACAAACCGGAGATACCCAATTGATCTTCGACAGAACTAAGTAGGATGTGTACGTAATTAAGAGTTAGGAAACGATATCAGTTATGGTTCACATCGTTATTGAACTTACAGGATTGGCTGGAACTAAAGAGAGCACTACCTATCCAAGTGAATTCAACCTTGTATTTGCTTATTAATGTTACTGTATTGGCAAAATCGCAAATCTCAAGATTATATTTTGTTACTGTTACTACGGATTTTGAGACAACACTTTTGTATGCGTTTGGTTTCTTATTTTGGGTAGGATTTTGGGGATAGTATTGGATAATTGAATATGGGAGTATTACGAGGTAAAATTTAAAAATTTATAGAAAAACCCCCTAAGTTTGCTAATTTCATAAATACCCCAATATGTAAATTGACAAAAATACCCCCACCACCTGCAGTGCCAGATTCTAGCCACTACCGCCGGAATTTGGTCGGAAAATCGCGTTACGACACAGACCGGTCGGATCTGTGTCGTAACGAGTCGTTATGGCCTTTTCCAGCCAGATCCACCACAGATCTGGCCGGAAAATGCCAGATCTATGGCCTGCCGTGGTCATCGACGGCCGAAAAAGGCCAAAACGACGGCCATCTTTGGCCGTCAGTGACAGCCAAAGATGGCCGTCGTTGAGGTCAACGATGGCCAAGACGGCCATTTCTTTGGCCGTCATTCACGGCCAGATCGGTGAACTTCCAGCCATTTATGGTCGGCAGGTTGGCCGTTGTATAGATTTTGGCTACCACCGATGGTGGTTGCCTGAATCTGGCGAGTATGGGTTGCGGGGGTGTTTTTGATAATTTTTAAACTTTTTTTAGGGTGTATTTGATGAAATTAATAACTTTATGGGGTCTAAAAGTAATTAAAAAAATAGGGTAATATTCTTGGAATAATGTGCCAAACATTATTTGGAGAATAGGATCCAGAATCTAGATAAAAATAATAAGCAAAACATAGTGTTTAAGTATTTGGTATTATATATAAGATAATACGCATTATTTAAAATAATTACTTATTTTACACATATATTATATAAAATAATAATTAAAATTATATTAAAAATTATTTAATACTTTAATAATAGTTGGTACTTTGTTAATAATTAATAATTATATTTATAATAAAAGCAAAAAATATTAATAATGATTAATTTGAATTTAAACTCGGACCTAAGATTTGGATGCCCAGGCCCATGGATACAAAAACTCGGGATTATACTTGGGCCCACGTCAGCCATGTGACCTGGCCTGGTGGGTTTTAACTTGTATGGGTTTATTTCCTGGGGAGTGACTTTTAATCCTCCAGAAATTATAAAATTTATCTAAAATTGGGGTGAGAATTGAAAACTCGCTTAGATGTGGAAGTGTCTCAAGGACTAGCCCAACCACAATTTCCCTTAATTTATAGGACGAAATTTTTCCCATAGTTAAATCATTGACCCTTAACCAATTTCCAAGCTTTCAAATGTTCAATCCCTACGAATCACTAGCAAATTGAGTTCTTTTGATTCTAAGGAGGTATTATTGAACCATTTGAGAGCATACTGTTGTTTTAAAAGCTCCAAAAAAGTGACAAAGGTATCTTATGTACTTTAGAGGTTGTTTAATCTAGTTGATGGATTTCAAATGTATGTGTCCTAAACATGTAAATGAAGTTTTTTTCAGTTAGATTGTTGTTTTAGTATGTTGTATGAACTTATTGTTGAATGGATATGATTTAAATGTATGTTGTTGTGTTTTTCACGAAATTAAATAGGGTGAGTGAGTTGCTCGTGTGGATCATATTTGGTCAAAATTCGATTCAAAGGTTGAAGATGACTATTGACTAACACCCTTGTGTTGGTCACTTAAGGCTCTGTCCAAATGACCAACACCCTATATCGGTCATTATCGGTCAATGTCGATCTAAGTGCTTTAAATTTCATTTATCTTGGGATTTGTGCTTTGAGTAGCCATTGACTTATTTTTGTGGGTTTTTTAGGAAAATGGGGAACTTGGCTTGTATTCATAAGAATACGGAGGACGATGGGACAACCAACGTAAGACCGGAACAATTGCTGGACCTAGTTAATCGACATACAAGATCTACCTTTCCAAATGGAATTGGTAGGAATGCTCGTTTAAATGTAATTGAAACTGTGACTTGCTCCAATTATGACAGTAAGCCACCTAAAGGTAGGAATGTTGTGAACCTTGGAATTGGCCGAGATGTGGCTACCTCTCAAAAAATGAAGTAATAGTAATAATAATCAAATTCTTGAAGTCGATAGATTTTGAGATGGGCATAAAAAATAAATAAATCACATCGTATATTGAATATCGCATAGGAAAGAGAGATGGATTCTCCCTTCCGGGCAAAGTTCTGAGGAACGTTGACTTTATAGTAGAGGTGGGAATTTGGGCCTAAGCCCAAAAAACCTAACCCTAGGATCGATCTTGTAGGGCTTAGGCCCAAACCTAGACCGACGCAAAGGAGGAGGGACCGATCCTTGGGTTGGTCCCTCCTCCAAGGCTCGGGCCCAAACCCTTCCCCTTTTTTTCAAAACTCCCTTGTCAAATTAAAAAAAAAAAAAAAAAAAAACCCTGTTTTTAAATAGATAATAATAATAATAGGGGTAAAATGATAGTTTACAAAAAATTGATTCAACCATTGGCCAACAGTCAACTAACCATCGAGCCAATGGTCATGATGGGAGAGAATTTTTTTTTCTCCACTCCACCTCCACAACCAACCCCCCCCCCCCCCCCCCCCCCCCCCCCCCCCCCCCCCCCCCCAGTGTTGCCAGCCTCAAGTATAAATAATTCTACAACTCAACTCTCAATCTCTCTACTCCAATTCTCAAATTCAGTTCAATTTATATTTACATTTATTCATATTATTTATATTATTCAATTTCTTCAATTTTTTCTATTATTTATATTATTCAATTTCTTTCATTTTAATTATTTTTATTTTATTATAAATTCATAATGGATTCCCGAAATTATGCATTTAGAAGACCCTAAATGAGTTTTACGTTCCATCCACCGAAGAAATGAAAGGGTTCGATCCATTTTCAACATTTCCAAAGGTAGCAATTCCCTAACCAGAAACGGCCGAGACTGCGTGTAACCAAACATAAGCAAGCTACGACACCATGGGCTCGACAAGACCGTCAAAGAAGGCTATGTCCGGGGTATGACAATACCTCACCAGATCAAAACGAGCAAAGCTAAATAGGAAGGGAGAAGAATCATGCGTGGTACATAATTTTTGTGCAACCGTTATTCGCGCTGAGCACGGGACTTCAACGATGCGGAGGCACTTGGAGAAGAAGCACCCCCAATTTATGGCGCAATCTAGAGGGTCCAGTTCAACTTCAATCACACTAGGTAGGCAAATTCAAACTCAACTTAATTTTAATCCACAATTCTCAACTCTCATAGCCTGGCAATACAGTGCACTCAAAGCACGAGAGTCAATGGCAAGATACATAGTTGCTATAGACTCTCTTTCTCTCTTTATCTGAAGATCCTTTTTTTGTTAAATTGAATAAAAATGCTTTTTGTCTAACATATAGCCCTGCTAGTAGAGGTACATGTAGAAGGGACATATTAAATCTTTTTAATAAAATAAGAGATCAACTTAAAATAGAATTTGAAAATTTTTGGAATATATCTGTTGCACTTACTTCATACATATGTGCTATTAGATCAAAAAACAGTATTTTTTAGTGTCACAATACATTACCTAGATCATAGTTGGAATTTACAACAAAAATTGATAGGTTTTAAACCATTATATGAAAAATATAGTGCTGACACAATTTATTTTACAATTATTGAAGTTTCACAAGAATATGTATTAACTGACAGAATTGTAGCGCTAATGCTTGATAATGCAGCTGCTAACACCGCATTAATTTCTTTATTAGAAAAGAGATTGGATCCACATGGTAAAGGAAGATTTTTTCACTAGAGATGTGTTTGCCACATCATTAATTTGATTGCTAAAGTAGGTTTAGAAGCTATAAATTCGAGGATTGAATGGGTGCGCGCAGCTATCGGATTCATCGCCAGTAGCAATACAAGATGGACTTAGTATGTAAAATATTGTCGCCAAGAGGAGCCGCCAATTCAACCAAAGAAGTTATGTATGGACATGCTTGTTCGTGGGAACTCCGCATACTTGATGTTGCAAAAAGCTATGTCAACCGCAAAACAAATTATAGATTTCGTCAACTAGAAGAACCATCCAGATGAAGTCGTCAACAATTTGGATTGGACGGTTTGCGATGTTTTTCTTTAATTTCTTAAAGTTTTTTACGATTCCACNCATAAAAAAAAAAAAAAAATCACATCATATATTGAATATCGCATCGGAAAGAGAGATGGATTCTCCCTTCCGGGCAAAGTTCTGAGGAACGTTGACTTTATAGTAGAGGTGGGAATTTGGGCCTAAGCCCAAAAAACCTAACC